ATAAAATATTTGAAGTTGATTGTATTCTATTTGAAAAGGTATTATAGAGAGTCTTTTTTTCTATTATCCGAACACACTAGCTGACTTATTTTGTAAGACATCTTGGAAAGGACATTAATTAATTTTCATGGTAAACTTGAGGAAGAGATGTTAAGAAGCACACTTCTGCAGTGGTTTCTCCAGATCTTTCTGCCTAATCCTCTTTTAACCGGAAGGCATCTCATATCAGTGCAAATATCTGTGGTTAATTAAAACAGTTAAACCATGGATTGAATCTATTTACTCAATGGTAAACATTGCCAAGACGCTTGCGGTGAGCTCACAAATCTAAACATACAGCGGACTATCATCAATCAGAAATTGGATATTTTTATCATAAAGCAAATAGAAGTCCACTTAAAATATACAATACTTAATGAGCTATGGAGTTTATGTTTGTCATTGTATGCGAGAACTCATTCAAACACCAAATGCCAGGATTCTTTCTCCTTGGGCAACTCAGTCTAGTCCTTTGTCTTTTTGGCCAAACAGCTGATGGCCATGCACATGGAGCAGACACAGGGCTCAGAATCTAAAGAATTCTGCCTGAGTCTCAGTGCTGTAATTAACAAGCTGTGTTCTGTGGATAATTAGACTGCTTAATATCTTTGCAAACAAATTTTCTTATCTAAAATAGCTAATATCTATTGAATATTTATTATGAGCCAGGCACTGAACAATATGCTTTATATGAGATGTCTCATTAACTCTCATAGAAGTACTATGAGATGGACTTTTCATTCTTTTCATGTTACCTAAAAGGAAATTAAGGTTTGGAGAGTTTAAGTAACTTGTCTATTTTTAAATTTTTTTTAAATGGAGGTCCTGAGCACTGAACTCAGGACCTCCTGGATGCTAAGCATGCTATCTACCAGTGAGCGATTGCCCTCCCCTCTAAGTAATTTGTCTAAAGTGATAAAGCCTGTGATTTATAGAGCCAGGATTCTAGGCAGTTCAGATTCCAGAGCCCAAACCTGTGATTACTCTCCCAGTAGTTCTTCTCTCTGCATCTACCCCCATTTCAGTTCTTTCGGGAATTTTCTTCCTTTTCAATATCAAAAGATGATAATAAGGATAAAAAAATGAGAATGCATATGCAAGTGTTTATGTACTTGAAAGCACCATACATAGTAACATTCATTCAACAAATTATAATAAGCAACTACCACTACCATAATAAGCAAGTAACAACTGCCAGACTGGGTTTCAACCAACCCAGTGTATGGATACACACAGCTACTCCAAGGAATATGTACTGAAAGTCAGAATTGTCCACCATGACACCAATGTCAAGAAGTTAGCAGTGTATCCAAAATATTTTCGTTGCCTTTAATAACTGTGTCGATCATCTGTGAACAGATATAAATAGCTTTGAATTAGTATGTGTATCTTCAGTTCCTACCTCTAGGGTAATAAGTTCCATATGTTTATTCTTAACTCAGTTGTCCTTTTGTTTGTGGCTTAAGGTCTTTCTCAAATTTCAAAGAATGTTTCTAGTATTCTGATTTATGAATGGTTTATATTCAATTTATTTAAATCCTTCATGATGATGTAGCCTTCAATTATATCTTTCTAGGTCTTTGTTTTCCCATCTTCCCAATTTAAGGAGTCATAATATTTTTGAAACTCTTTTTAGAAACATTAGGTGTTGTCTATATAATGCCAAACAGCTGGCTGAAAATGGAATAAAGGAAGGAAACATCAGGATGTGTTCACATATCCAGCTGTTTGGCATTAGGTGACTGAGTTTCTAGCTCTTCTCCCGATATTCAGAGGCAGAGAGTATGCAGCCAGATCATTCTGTCTCTAAAGGTTGCCGAGTGGTGCAAGAGGGTAACAGGGCTTAGAAATGATAAATCAGGATATCGTGGTGTCAACACATTGAAAGAAGTGATTGGATTCAATTTCTGTTCTCTGGCTTTGAAACAATAAGATGATTTCCCTCCAGTGACTTGCAATGGCAGAGAACTGAAAATGAGTTTCCAAAAAGGAAGCCTCCAAGAGTGTTTAGTAACCAGCCTGGGGTTTTGTTGCTGTTGTGGCAGGTTTTAAAGTTAGGACATCCTGTGGTTTGGTAAGGATTAGACAAAGTGGCCAGGAAGAGAGATTAAGGAAGTGTTCTTGAAAACCCTTTTCTCAAATGAGGCCATAATTGTCTAACTTGTATATAATCACACTACTTTTGTTGTATACTGCACAAGACATCTTACAAGATAAATTAGCTACAACATTTGGATAATGGAAGAGAAAGGCCATGATAATATTGCATACAATGAGTGAAGTCCTGCAGTTTCTAATTAAGTGCTCAAGTCTCTTGTACAATGAACTATTTGTTGAACTTTAAAAATATAATTTGGAATCTTTGAATAAATGACTTACAGCCATGCAATAAAAACAGAGACAGTTGTGCTGGGACACATGGATTGCATTCTCTTCGGAGGCTCGCTTGCTCTTCCCCTGACTGGGTCTGACTGCCTGGTAGAGCAAGGAAGCAAGGACCAGGTGGCTTGGCAGGAAAGACCCTGCTCTACCTTAGCTGGCCGTGAGCCAAAGGCCATTCTGAAAGGAATCCTTAACTCACATTAGCTGTTGTTTGGGAGGTGTACCTTCTGATTTTGAAATGTCAGTGGCATCAAGGACAAACAATCTCAGTAGAGCCCAGGGAACTTTGTCCTATTTTAAGGATTCCTTGGGTCGTGTTGTGCAACTACCCACTTCCTGAAATTTACCTTCAGGGAGAAATTGACAACTACCCTTGTACGTATGTATGAAAGACGAGAGAGCACATGCTAGCGTGTTCATGCATTTATTTTGATCCCTCTAACAGTCTTAAGTAATTTGAAGTTCTCGTTTACTTGCATGTCATGGCCAGAAACAGTCTCTCAGTTCTCAGGAGAAAAAAAATGTCTTAAAGATCCAGAAAGGAGGCTCAAGAGGCTTCTTGGACATCAAACCTCTCTTACAAAACATTTTTGATGAGTCAAGTGTAAACAAATTAAATTCATAGAGGCCAAATTTTTCTTGACACACATGAGCTTAATAACAAGGGGGTGGGGATTGGGAGGAAGAAAGAAGAGATGGGGGGTGAGTCTTGGGAAAATGAGTGCTGAGTTTTGCAGGCCACAAAGTATTATATAGCAGCAGGTGGGGGTATAGCTCAGTGGTAGCATGCATGCTTAGCATGCACGAGGTCCTGGGTTCAGTCCCCAGTAACTCCATTAATAAAACAAACAAACAAACAAAAGAATGGTAGATTACTTGATACTTGAACACAACCAGAGCTGGATTCTCTCAGCCTTGCTATTGTTCCAGAACGAAATCTGGTGATAATATTTGGTTCCGTTGCTATTTAGTATTTGCCCAGAATGACTCATATATAACCCCCCATGTCACAGTTCTGCATGGTAAATGATACAAGTATCCTTAGGTGTTTTCCCCAGAATTAAAACACTTTATTTTTGCTTAGTAAATGTAAATATAATCATATCTAGAATTCAAGAAGTACAAGTAAAGATATCAGAAAAGGCTTCCTATATAAAAGATGCTTAAAATGAGTTGTAAAGGATATGAAGGATTTAGCCATTTTAGAAATATGGCCAATTCAATGGGGTTAAAAAAAATTGCTTCAAAGTTCAGTCAAACTGGACAGCATATTCAGGAAAGGACAAATAATCTGGATCCCTAGAATGTCAAATTTGAGAGGAAATAGAAGGAGATGAGATTGGAAAGGAAAGCAGAGCTATGATCATGGCCTTATATTGAGGGTGATGATTAACCTTAGAAAGATTGTAATGAGGAAGAGGAGTGATTGTATTAAACATCATGCTGGCTGCAATGTGGAAAATGGATTAGATGGAGCTAAAACCATAAGCAGGTAAGAGATTGTAAAAGGTTTGAGTGATGTGGTAGTTTTCCAGGAAAGAGCTGAGATGGGATGACAAGATGGGGAGATTAAATAAAAAGAATCCCTTTAGCTCTAGTTACGATACTAAGAGCTAACAAATGTGGAAAAGTAGTATAGAACTATCCAGTAAGTGAAGATCTGGAACACAGAGTTCAGGTCCAGAAGTGTGGGTTCAAATTCCACCTTCATCATGTACCAGCTGTGTGACCTTAGATAAAGCATTTGATCTCCCATAATTTCCCTACCTGTCAAATGAGAATAAAAAATATCTAACTCATAGGGTTGTTTTGTGAAGATTAATTAAGTTAACACATAGAGCACTTAAAAGAGTGTCCAGCGAAGAGTAAGCCTTTTATTATTAGTCTTACACAGAAATATCGTGCCAAGTTCTTCATGTATATGCTCTAAGTTAATTTTTTAAATAACCTCATGAGACAGGCACGGACATCCTTATTTTTCAGATGACCAGACTACAGCTTGGAGAGTTTGCATAACTTCCCATAGTAGCAGAGTTAGTAAATAATTAAGATGGAATATAAGCCTAGAACCCCATGCCCTGAACAGTTTGTTATGACTTTGTGGAAGTTCAGGCTTCCTCGTCACGGAATAGGGAGAAACTTGGAAACAATGTAGAGAGTAAGATGCATCTTCTCCTATCTGTGTCAAGAACAGAGGGCATACAGCACTACTCTTCATGGAGATGGCTTGGAATAGCAAAATAGGCAGAAGTTAAAACTTAGGACATCTCATTTAAATGTCAGCTCCCCAGTTTGTGATGATTACTTTGAGAAATGTCTTCATCTGGGTGTGGTTGAAGATGGAAAATAATCAAGTTGGAGAAAGCTCTTCGTAAAGAGAACATACCAGATAAGTATTAGTCACTGATTGTCCCCTTAAAGTCAGTGAAATAATAGTTAACTATGATCATAAGTCCCCTTTTTCTCAGCCACCAAAGTAAGCCATAAATGAAAACATCTCTCTCCAACGTCATTAATTCTACATGTTCAGAAAGAATATCTCCATCACTTTGTATTGTACAAAAACTTGAAAAGGTAATTCAGTGTTGCACCTTACATGCTTCTAGCCAGCAGTACTTCAGTATGACTCAAATATTGATCTAAATCATTTATGGCATAAATTAAAGTTCCTTCGAGACAGGAGGAGATAGCAGTTAGACCAACAGAAAGCAGCTCCAAATTTCCTAAAATAAGATCTTTGGTTCTCTGGAGGAATCCTGAGCATAATCTCAAGAGTCCATGAGAATTTTTCATTTGAGAATTTCATATCAGTAGCTACCTAAAACATGTGCATAAGCATATTTTTGACCATTTAATGGCAACCTCACAACTAATAATTTTCCCCATATTCAAAGACCTTAATAGTGTTTTTGTCTTGAGTTTGTTGTACCCAAGTAGTTCTATTTCATCCTGGGCTAAAGTGAAAAATAAAAAAATGGAGGCAGAATTACTATGTAAATGGTGAATTTCTGCCAAGTGAGGACCAAATGACATCATGTTATGGTTTTGCAGTAGTTGGAACAGAGAAGAGAGGTGGAAAAAATGACTGATCTCACAGCACACAGATGTATGGGAATGATGACCACAAAAGAACTTGAACCTTAACAGTGAGTACCATGTTCCTTTGTGAGTGGTTTTCAGTTCAAGTAAACAATGACATCCATCACATTGAATAAATGTTACTAAATTGAATTTAACTGGGTTGCATCTTTTGTCTGCATTTAATTAGTAAAAGTGTTTGAATTTTATAGCTTAAATGATTTATAAGAATAAGAAGTTACATCTAGGTTTAGATTTGCACACATTTTAGCAACATTATAATAAAAATCATTTAAGTCAACATAGATATTAAACAGAACTTTCATTTCTTTTGAAAGGAGTCTGTCCACTACGCAAATTTGAGAAACGTTAAAATAATGGAAAAGAACACAGGGTTTGGAATCAGAAAGAACTGGGTTCAAGGACCCAATTCCTCTGCTACCTGGCTGTGTCATCTGGAGTGTATTGCTTGACTTTTCTAAGCCTTAGCTTCTTCTTTTGTAGATGTTCATTACAATAATCACAAACACTTACTCAGTTCTTCCGACGTGTCAGAAATGTTTAAAATACTGAGCCTAATTAACCCTTCTGTTAAAACAGTCCTATGAAGTAGATACTAATATTATTTATACTTACAGGTAAAGAAACTGAGGAATATACAAATTAAGCAATTTGTACAAAATCACAGTTATTAGAACACGGATCAAGATAATCTGACTCTAGAGCTCACTTTGTTACACAGCCTTTCAAACATCCACTATGGATTCTGATGTATATTTACCTTATGTATGTTCATATGCAGTCTTCCAGGATTAGTTTCTGAGCTCTGCCCTGACACAAGTTCCATGATTTCCATTCTCCAATCTGATAGAAGCACATGTGGGAAAAAGCTGGGAACAGTTCCAAAGAAAATCCCTACTGGTATCAGAATGAAGTCCAGTTCTTCCTGAATGTTTACTAAACATTAGGCACTGTGTTTATCAATTTACATGACTTATTCAAACATGAAACAACACTGCTAAAAAAAAATATTTCATTTAGAAAGAAAACTTTTTAAAGGCTGAATAATATTCCATTGTGTGTATATGCCACATTTCCTTTATCCATTGATCTGTAGATGGACTTTGAAGTTGCTTCAATTTCTTGGCTACTTGAATTCTGCTGTAGTGAACATGGAAATGCAGATGTCTCTTCAAGATCCTGGCTGCAATTCCTTTGAATATATATATAGCCAGAAGTGGGATTGCTGGATAATATGGAAATCTTTTCATTTGTGACAACATAGATGAACTTGGAGTACATAAAGGTAAGTGAAGTAAGCCAAATACATTAGGACATATACTACATGATACGATTTATAAGAACAGTCTAAAATAGCCAATCTCATAAAAACAGAGTAGAATGATGGTTTTCAAAAGCTGGGAGGAAGAAGAAACATGGAGATTTTGGCCAAAGGGTACAAAATTTCAGTTATGCAAGATAAATTATGGAGGTGTAATGCACAACTTGGTGATGATAATTAACAATACTGTATTGTATACTTGAAATTTGGTGATCAGACCAAAATAGTATCAGAAAGTCTCTAAAAATTAGATTGTCATTGGAACCACAGCACACAGAAGGAGGCAACTACTATGTGCTAAACCTATACAGGGTAACTGTTAAAATTTTAAGCAAGACCCATAGTCTCCTAATGTAATGGCCTAAATGTCTAGGAAGTCATCCTTCATACCAACAAACAGGAAAATCACATCTTGAAGAAAACGCAATCAAATTATACCAACACTGAGATAAATCAGATGTTAAAATTATTTGACAAAGATTTTAAAGCAATTATCATAAAATGATTTAACATGCAATTATAAATTCTCTTAAACAAATGAGAAATTAATAAGATCTCAGTGAAGAATTCTGTAACAAAACAGAGTCAAATGGGAACTGCAGAGCTTAAAGCTACTCAAGATAGAATAAATACAAACACACATGAAGATACATCATTGTTAAATTTTTTAAGCTAAAGACAATGAAAAAGATCTTGAAAGCAATCTGAGATAAGCAATGCTTTGTCTGTAGGACAACACCAATCCAAATGACAACAGATTTCTCATCTAGATCCATAAAGGACAGAAGAAATTGACACAATATTTTTCCACTTCTGAAAGAAAAAAAATCTGTCAAGAATGAATTTTATATCCAACAAAAAATATCTTTTAACAATGAAGGGTAAATAAGAACAGGCTAAATAAAGGAAAACCAAAATAATTTGTCACTAACAGATTTACCCTTAAGAAATGGTCAAAGACGTTCTTCCAACAAGAAGGAAATGATAAAAGAAGAAATGTTGGAGATCCAGAAAGAAGGAAGAGTAACAGAAAGACAAGAAAGATAAGTGAATACAATAGGTTAGCCTTTTCCTCATGAGTTTCCAAATAGTAGGTGCAAACTGAGACAAAAATTATAATTCCATCTCACTCAAGGTAGGGCCATTTTAAAGTGAGGTGGGTAAAGGGATCTAAACAGAAGTAAAGTTTTCATACTTTCCTCAAATTGATAAAAATGCTTTTACCAGAAGATGGTGGTAAGTTACACAAACATACTGTAATACGCAGAGAAACCACTAAGAAAAAAAATTATACAAAGCACTGCACTCAAAAATACTATTAAAAATCAAGATGAACTCATAAAAATGTTTAAGTAAGTGGGTTACTTAGGCAAAAAAGGCAAATATAGGAATGACAGAAAAAATGAAATAGATGACAGCTGATTTACCCTAACAAATCAGTGTAAATGTACATGGTCTAAATGTGCCAATTAAGGGGCAGAAATTGGAAAAGTGGATGAGAAGTTACTAAATTACACTCTGTTTAAAAGAGTCTCACTTCAATTTCAATGATATAGGTAGGTTAAGGTAAAAGAATGGATGGAAAAGTTATTCCATGCAAACACTAATCAAGAAGTCAGGATTGGCTAGAGTAATATCAGATAAAGTAGACTTCAGAACAAATAAATTGCTACAAAGAGGGCCACTACACAATGATAAATGGAATAATCCACTGAGAAGACATAATTCTAATTTTATAAGCAGCAAACAACAGAGCTTCAAAGCACATGAAGCAATAACTGATGGAGCAGAAAGGAAAAGTAGGCAAATCCATAATAATAGTTGGGGACCTCATTACCTCCCTTTCCGCAAGTGATGGACTTATTAGATAGATAACCAGCAATAATATAGAAGATCTAAAAAACTTAATTAACCAACAGTATCTCATTTGCATATATAGAATACTCCACCCTGTAAAAACAGAATGCACATTTTTTCCAAGGTCCCATGGAACTTTCACAAAGGTAGACAGTATCTTGAGCCATAAAACAAATGTCAGCAACTTGAAAAGAGTGAGTCATTCAAAGTATATTCTCTGACCGTACAGAATCAAACTAGAAATCAATAACTGAAAGACCATAGGAAAATTTCTATGCATTTGTAAATTAAACTGCACCCTTCTAAATAATCCACAGATCGACTCACTTCTAAGTAATCTACAGATCAAAGAAGAAGTCTCAACAGAAATAATTCATACATAGAAACTAAGAGAAGTTCAACATATCAAAATATGTGGGATGCAACTAAAGCAGTGCTGGGACGGAATTTTACAGCACTAAATCCTTACCTTAGAAAAGAGTAGATACTTCAAATAAATAATCTCAACTCCTACCTCAAGAAACTAAAAAAAGAATAGCACAATAAACTTGAAGGAAACACAAGAAAAAAATGATGGTAACAGAAATTAATGATATTGAAATGACAAAACAATGGAAAAAGTTAATGAAACAAAAATTTAGTTCTTCAAAAAAAAACAAACATTAATTAACCTCTAGCAACACTAACAAAAGAAACCACAAAACACCAGTAGCAGAAACACTTCCCATCTCATGAAATAAAACTAACATGATCCTGATACCAAAAGCAGACAAAGAAAGTAAAACAACACAATGAATAAAACAAAATGAACACAGACACGAAATACCTCAAAAATATTGTGAACTGAATACAACAATGTATAAAAAGAATTATATACCATGACCAAGTAGGATTCATTCTAGTTATGAAGGTTCATTCAATACTTACATGCATGTCAATAGGCTAATATATACTACCATATCAATAGGCTAAAAAGAAAAATCATATTAATTAATGCAGAAAAAGAATTTGGCAGAATACAACAATATTTCATGATTAAAAGGAAAAGCTCAGCAAACTAAAAATTGAAAGAAACTTCCTCGACTTTGTAAGAGTCTACACAAATCTGACAGCTAACATTCTTCATGATGAGAGTAGAATGTTTTCCCCTGAAGACTGGGAACAGGTCAATGATATATGCAGTCCTTATTCTTGTTCGACTGGATATTCTAGCTATAGCAATAGAGAAGACTAGCACGTAAGAGACAGTAAACTATTTGCTGATTCACTGGCTGAATGAATACATGAATGAATGCCATCAATGTCTAACTCACCTATCTAAAGGATTACTGTGATCTTATATGTCAGTTTGACTCATCCATGAAGTGCCCGACTATTTGGTTAAATACTATTTCTGGGTGTGTCTGTGAGGATGTTCCTGGATGAGATTAACATTGGAATCAGTAGACTGAGTAAAACAGATTGCCCTCCCACATGGGGGTGGGTCTTATCTAATCCACTGAAGTCCTGAGTAGAATAAAAGGCTGAGTTAGAAAGAATTCTGTCTCTCTTGCCTGAACATCTTCAAACTTGGGACATAGGTTTTCTCCTGCCTCTGGACTCAGACTCAGACTGGAATTTACACCATTGGCTCTCTTGGCTCTCAGGCCTTCAAACAGACTGGAACTATACATTGGCTCTCTCAGCCTTCATAATCACATGAACCAATTCCTTAAAATAAATCAATCTCTCCCCCCCACCTTTTCCATATCACTCAGCCTCATAGTGCAGAAAGCCAGATTTTCCACTGTGTCTCTTGCTCTTAGACCAAGAGTTGACATCCTCTTCTATGTACTTGTGGGAAGGTTTGAGGTTTGCCTGGCTCCAAAT